TCACTTGCTGTGCTGCGAGGCCGCGGCTCCCTGAGCGTGTTTGTGCTCCTGCTGCTTCACCTGCTGCACGATTTCCCTGATCTTGCGCTGGGCAGTCTGCAAAGGGGGCAAGGAACAGGGGTAGCAACACCAGAGCTGAGCCCCCACCAACCCTACAGCACCACAACCCTACAGATCCTAACACCAGGCCAGGCGTGTGATTCTGTGATACTTTTGCTTTGCTAAAGCAAAAGTTTGGCTGTTCTTCCATCACTCAAGATTTTGGGGTGTCGCCACACCCTCGCATTCGTGAACCCAGCCTGGTTAGATGCACCCAGGTGAGATGCAGGAGCCATTCCTACCCACTGTCCAAGGCACAGATTTTGGCTGAATTGAGCCAATCTTCCATTTTAATGCAGCCAAAACCCCTTTCAGTGCATCCTGGGTGCACACTCAGAGCAGCTCAGGGGATGCTGTGGTCAGTGGCCTTCCTCAAACTCAGACTGTTGGGAGAGCCGTGGCCAAACCTTACCTGACTGGCAAAGAAATGCCCAATGATTTTGACAACGACCTCCTCGTTCTCGTCCGGGGTTTGGTCTCGCGGCACGATGACTTCTGCGCTCGTTAAGTTCTGCAGTTCATTCACCTGAGCAAACAACAGAGATCCCAGTTTTGCTGGGAAAGAGCCAAAATCCTCCACTGCTGGTGCCACTCCAGCTCTGAGCCAGGACATGGCACCAGGCTGCTGTGGCTCACATCCTGTCCCCTTGGCATGGCCATCCAGGAGCCAGCGCCAGAACAAAGAGACTGAGACATCACTGACAGAACAGAGCACCCGGCCAGAGCTGATGGGATGGATAGGGGATGGATGGGGGATGTCCAGCCCTCTATTCCCAAGCCAGGTGGGATCCCATACACCCCCACCTACCGTCTTGCCACCTTTGCCAATGACACGGCCGGCGGCGAAGGAAGGCACCTTGATGTGTGCTTCGAGCTTCACTTCTTCTTTCGGGTTAAAGAAATTCTCCTCCTTCAGCTTCCCAAATATTCGGCCCTGGGCCTGGAGAGGGCACAAAAGGGACATGGATGTGGTGGGCAGCATCCTGGAGGCAGCCTGCTGTGCCCTTCATTCCCACAGGCAATGATGTGGTCCCAATACCGTGGTTCCAAGCTGAGAAGCCCCCCTGGCATGGTGAGGACCAAAGGGATGCTCTCACTTTGCCCCTACCCATGTCCTCAAGCCAGTCCCCACCCTGTGGCCATCATACCTTGAACTGAGCCTCAGGTGGCCCCGTGATGATCACCATGCGCTCGCTGGCATCTGGACCTTCTGCTGGGGCAATCTGCAGAGGGATGGAAGGAGTGTGAGTGTGACCCTCCTTGGGCAAGACCTCCCCTCTGTGGGATGTGTTCCCATGCAGGGACACCCCCCTACCCAAGCAGTGGTGGCAATCAGGATGCTGCAGGACTGGGTTTCTACTCATTTAGAGAGCAAAACCATTCACCAAGGGCTCCCTTCTCTGCTCTCAGCAAGTAGGAAGGGGAAACAGAGGCACAAAGGCCTGACCCAGCCCCTCATTCCCACTCACCTTGATGGAGGCGCCAGCAAACCGTGCCAGCTGCTTGATGTGTTGCCCCTTCTTCCCAATGATGGCCCCCACGGCCTGTGTTGGGATGAACAAGTTCACAACCTCCTGCTCCGGCACCTGGAAAGGGCAGGAAGAGCCAGAGGGTCAGCGGAACAGCTGGGCCAGGGGGCTACTCCCCCCTGCCAGCATTCCAGCCTTGAAGAGGGGCTGAGCTGGGTTGGATTGGGTTGGGTTGAGTTGGGCTGGGTTCTCTTGAGTTGAGTTGTGGTCCTGCCCTCCCACAGGGTGCCCAAGGGAAAACCTCCTGGCAGGAGGTGCCAGGGCACTTTTGGGGAAGGGAAACTTACAGGATGCTGATGGGGGAAGGCTCCAGCTGGGGGGGCTCCGTACAGACTGGACAGATAGGCCGAGGAGCCCTGTGGTGGGAGAGAAAATGAGGGGCAGTGACATTAATGATGTCCTCAAGGTGCCAGCCCCTACCCAACACCCCGACCCTGACATGGAGAGTGTGTCACCACCAGGAGGAGGAACACAGAGACCACAGGCACATCCAAGGATGAGCTGCAGCCTGGACCCTGTGCCTATGGCACAGCACGAGGCTGGGATGGGGATGGGAGCTCCCAGTTAACCCCAGTCCCTCCCCACTGCTGCTTTTTTGGCTTTGTCCTGCTGATATTTGTATCAGAAAAAAAGATCTCCTTCTGGCCTCACCAGGGGGCTTGAAAAAGGCCACACAAAGCCTTGGGGTGAAGGACCCCACACCAAATACTGCCCTTCAGGAGACCTGTCCCACTCCTCTCCATCACACCCCACATAAATAATTCCCACAGCTGTCGCCCAGAGGTTGTGGATACAGGCACAGCACCCTCCCTCCACAGGTTGGGAGTGACCAACCAACCCTCCTGGAGCCCTCCAGTGCCACCCCAAACACCCCACATCCTCCCAGCACTCACCGTCCTCCTCCGCCCGCTCTGCTGCAGGGATTGCAGGGAGAGAAAACAGCACAGGTAAATTAACCCACAGCTCAGAATAAATTATTGAAGAACTAATGGAGGCAGCCCATGGTGCCTGAGTGACCTGGGATGGACCTTCTCCACCAGCACCTTGGCCATCCTGTTCTCCTGACACTGCACCATCCCTGCCCACTGTCACCTCAGGCCAGTGGTGGCCTTGGGGTCAGGAATGAAGACCACCTACATGGTTTTTCCATGCTCTCTTCAGAGAGCAGCACCCTTGGGACACAGCCAATCCTTAAACACTAGTGGAACCCAGATCAGCACAACCCAGAGATGCAGCTGATCTTCTTGGTGATTGCCACCTTCACTCCCTGTCCTCTCCACTTTGCTGCTGCAAATGAGCATCCTCCCCAAAATGGCTGAGAGTCAGAACTCCCCATAAGGTAGCTCCCAAACCCAACAGCTCCAGGCACCAGGAACACGCCACACTTACTGCAAAGGGGTGGTAGGGGGTGGCAGCTGCAGCCCCCCGGGCCCCAGGGGTGGAGGGCAGCATGGACAGCCCTGTGGAGAAGATGCCCAAAGCACTGAGGTTCAGCCCTGGGATCAGGTTGGCCTGTTGCTGGGAAAGGAAAGATAAAAGGAGAAAGCTGTGAAAGGTGGGGGAGAACTGGGCTTCTCAACACAGGCATGGGTGAGGCCCAACCCTTGCTGTAACACATCAACCTCCACTGTGAATTTTTGTGCAGTGGAGCACGCCCGGGGAGGGCTGGGCTTACGTTGACGGCCACCACGTCGCTCTCGTAGGCCTCGCGCAGCTTCTTCATGATCTCCACCTCGGCGTTGGAGCAGGCCTCCGTGCTGCCCTTCACCGTGATGGTGCGCTCGGGGTTGTAGATGGTCAGGTCCTGCAAGCTGCCCCACAGGAAAATCCAGAGACACGGTCACATCCCTTCTTCAAGTCATGGAAAACCCCAGGAAAACTCAAATCACAGCTGAGGGTTCCCCACAGGACAGAGTGAGAGCTATGCGGCCTCTCCCTGCCCAACACCTGGGATGAGGAACATCCACCTGGGATAGGGAACGCACATGGGAGGGCACAGCTGCTGTTTTTCACCTGCAGCAGTGCTTGTACCATGTTGGACAGAATGGGGTGGCCTGGTGTCCACCAGGACTCCACTGAATCATAGAATCATGGAATGGAAGGGATGTGAAAGTGCATCCAGTTCCAGCCAAGGGCAGGGACACCTCCCACTAGACCAGGTTGCTCTAAGCCCTGCAACACTTCCAGGGATCCAGGGGCAGCCACAGCTTCTCTAGGCAATCTACCACCCTCACAGGGAACAATTCCTTCCCAATATCCCATCTAACCCTGCTGTCTCACCATTCCCCCCAGTCCTGTCACAGGAACTTACGGGGAGATGGTGATCTTGGTGCCCGTGTCTTGCTCAATCTTCTTGAGGTTGCGGCCCTCCTTGCCAATCAACCTCCCCACCAGGCTGTTGTGTGCCAGGATTTTCAAGGGAATCTCTTCTGCTCTAAAATGCATTAAGAAAAAATCAAATCTAAAGGTCCAGCCAGTCAGGCAACAAAGAAATCTCCAGCCACAGGTACTAAGGATTTGTTGAAAAGAAGGACCACCACCACGGGGTCCCACCACACTGTGGCTGAGCCAGGAGCACTCACGATTTCGTTTCATCAGCCTCCTTCTGCATGATGTCCAGGATCATGCGGCACGCTTCCGAGCACCCCTCTGGCGTGGCGTGGATGGTGATGGGCTTCTCAGCAGCGCCGGCGTTCTCCTTCCGATGGATGTCAACCCTGTGGTGAACAACCAGCACAGAGGAGCCCCTCAGATAGGCCTGGGGTCACACGGAGGGTTCTGAGAGCTCAGGAGCTGAGAAAAACTCATTTCAACACTTGCTCAAGCTGTGGGGTGAACCTGGGTGTCAGCTGCATCTACCAGCACCTGGCTCACGCAAGCCCAGGCAGTGTTTGGTTTCGGGCGGTTCGGATTGGATTTGGACCACGTTCACCTGTAGGACCCGAGGTCCTGGAAGCTGAGGGGCGTCACAACATCAACCAATGCATGGAGGGGGCAGAACAAATCCTCAACTGGACTAAAGCCCTGAGCAACCTGGTCTATCATCATCATCTCTGCCGCCGGCCCCGCTTGGAGCAGCAGACGGGATCAGAGGCCCTGCCGAGCTCCGCCTCTCTCTGCGCAACACCCGAGGCTGTCCAGCGACCTTGGGCACAGAGAGCACTTACCCGTGGGCAGCGTCTGTCTGTCCCGACACGGAGGCACCCGGCAACAACAGCGCTGGTACTCACGCCCTTCCCGGGGGGACCAGCAGGCTCCCGTGCGCAGCGGCAGGGACCGTGCTCTACTCCTCTGCTCCTCCCTCAGCTCATGGCTCATGGCGCGAGGAGGCACGGCCTCCAGCTCGCTCCTCACGCTCAACCGTACCTGGCAAAGCCCTGAGAGAGAGGGAGAGAGGAAAGCAGGGTAGGAGACTCCCGCACCTTGACCACGCGCCTTGGGCTACAGGGGGAGGAACCCTTGCGTCTTCTCCGCGCGATGATCCGCGCGCTCTTCCCGCCGGACGGTGATGCCGTGCTGCGGCCATCCTGCCATGGGCCACCACCGTGGCGTCCCTGCCACTGCTGCAGCCAGGGCCAGGTCTTCTGAGCAGGTGTGGAAGTGGCAGCTCAGCCACTCTGAAATGCTGACAGCACTTGGGTCCCCTCCGGCCACATCTCCGAGGTCCTGTCCTGATGGGATCATCCAGGGCGCTGCTGCACGTGCCAGGCCAAGGGCTGGGGGGCAGAGTCACCACACGGTGCCATGCTGGGGTCCAGGTGGGTTTGAACAGGTCAACTCTTCAAGAGCCATCATGTTGGAACACTGATGGTTGAAGGGGAGCAGCTGGGAGAGCCTTCCCTGAGAGAAGGGACTCCAAAGGGACCCAGAGTGGTTCCATCCAAGCACTGAACAGGGAGGGAAGACAGCGTGGTTCCCTTCTTGCCTCCATCTCTCCAGATCTCCATGTCTTCAGTTGGTGCTCCCAGCCATGGAGCTCCCTCAGGCTCCATTCCCAGCAGACACAGGGACACTTGCTGCCACCCCTTTGACGGGAACAGGGTGAACACACCATGATGGCCACACGAGGCGATGACAGACCAGGTTGATGCTCCCAAGGTAGGGGGAATTGATGAGGAATCCCAACAAACCCCACAGATGGGAGCCACACAGCAGCTGAGGCTGGTGGAGAGGAGAACTCGGCTGAGCCTTCGTGCCAGAAAGGAACCAAGTGCCAGGGAAGTGCTGACTGGAGGCACCAAGGTGATGAGGACCTTGGACAAGCCTCAGAAAGGGGCACACGCCAGGTTCCTGGCTGACCAACCATCCCATGGGATCACCAGGTTCAGGATGATGAGCTCAGGGGAAGACACATCCCATGTCCAGATGTGTGAGCTCACTTGCCAGAGAGATGAAGGGATGCCAGGAAGGGGTCACTGCTTTCAGGCACATCCCACCCCAGAGAGCTGGAGAAGGGAGAGCTCTGGAGCTGCCAGCACATCCCAGTGCCACTGCTGAACTGCTCCGTTCCAACAGGAGGATGGAAAAGGGGACTTTCAGTACCTTCACCTCATCACCAGGCGCTGCAGGGAGGGATGACCAGGGCTGGGGGGACAGGGTTTGCCAATGGTGCAGCAAGAAAAGCCTCCAAGAGACCTTAGGGTAGGCTGGGAATGCTTCAGGAGTGGCTGCCATGAGGGACAGCCCTCTCCAGGTGGACAACACAGTGTGCCTGTAGGGTTATCCCAGTGGATAGCCATGGTAGCCATGATCCTCTCCTCACGGAGCTCCAAGGGCTGTGGAAGGTCTTGGTCTGGGTTTCTTCATGGAAAAACACAGCTCAGCCTGGGCACAGTTTTGCCTCCTGGGGCTCAGAAGCACCTTTGGGATCTCTGTGAGTGGATCCAGGGGTGAAATCCAACGTGACCAGAGGAATCCAGAAGCCAGCATCACTCTGGGAAGGAGCAGGGGCCGGGCAGCAGGATGTCACCCTTGGATCATCACTGGCAGATGAAGGCAGGGACAGAGTGTTGGATGGCACCCAAAGTGAAGGACAGGGCTCCTGTGGCTGCCTGGGATGGATTCCTGAGGGTTCCCTTCACCCCAGCCTGCAGGCAGGGCAGGAGAGGGCAGAGCACTGAGCAGGACCTTCCTCCATGGCCCGGGTCTTCAGGGCAGGCACACAGAGCCACCCCACCAGGAGGGACAATTCAGGGGCAGAAACTGCTCCAAGCAACAGCATCTGGTTTCATGGCTGGGAGAAACTGGCACCTTCCCACCTTCCTTGCTAGGCTCAGGGCTTGGAAAGGGCAAATTCCCTTCTTGGGGGTGAGGACACAGCTACGCCTGCTGCTCATCCCACCAGGACTCACCTGGAGAAGGGCTTGCAGCCAACAGGGATCTGCTCACCAGGTGAGCAAGCCAGGCTCCAAGAGCTCCTCTCCCTACTCCTCTGCCCCCTTTCCATACAAACCTCTTCCTGCCAAGCCAGCACCAGGGTTTGGCTCCTCTTTCTACCTCCAGCCACACTAGTACCAAAGCTTTGCCTCTAAAAACTCCTCTGAGAACTGGGATGCTCTGGGACAGGACTCCTACGTCCCATGGGATCACCATGTGCAGGATGATGAGCACAGGAGAAGACAGCTTGGGGTTAAACACAAACACACCTGGGCAGGAACAAACCATGCAGGAAAACCATGCAGAGAATGAGCAGTGAGATCAGGAGAACAGCAACAAGAGAAACATGGAAAACTTTGGCAAGACAACCCCACTTTTTTGGTTTTTTTTCCTTTTTTAGTTCAAAAATAAACACGTTAATAGCTAAAAAGGGCTTCAAACAGTTACAAAAGCCCATCCTTCTCGTGGCAGTGCTCCCACAGTGTCCCTTTCCCCTTAACAGCTCTAGCCCGTATGGGATATTGCAGGATAAGCAAATCCCACAAGAACCAAGACCACTGCACTGAGGATTCACCTTTAGGATTTGATCCCCAAACTTGCCATTTCTCCCTAAAGCCTCATCCCACAAAGCTGTTCTCGTGAGGCTTTAGGAACTCATTCCAGGCCTTTTTACAGTGTGCATCCCCCTCCTGCAGCACCCAGACCACCCTGGCCAGCAGGAATGGGTCAGCACCTGAGCTCTGCCACCACCCCAAGAAACCAGCAGTGGCTGGCACTGCAAAGCCCCCCAGTGCAGGGAGAACCCAAGCTGGGACCTACAGCACCCTAGGGAAGGAAAACAAAACCATTGCAAGTACTTACTTGGACTGGGTTTGCTTAGTAAGGTTCTTTATGGTCAAGCCCTCCTTTCCTATGATCGCACCAACAAACTGCGTGGGCACCAGCATCCTCAGTGGGAACTCGAGCTGTTTGGGCTGTGAGGAGCCCCCTGGGGAGGAGCCCCGCTCCCTGGAGGAGTGGCCCCCGCGGCGGGATCGCTGGGGGGGCGGAGGGGAGCTCACCTCTTCATCCGGGATGTAGGAAATCTTGAAGGAACAGTTCTCTAACTGCTGGTCGCTCAGCTTCTCTATTGCTCTGCAAGGCAGCGAGGTGCAGGGCGTGGTCAGGGGCTCCCCTTCAGCACCCCCACCACATGCAGAGCATGGGCCCTTCCCACCTTGCATCCTCTGCCCTCCCCAGTCTGGAGAACATGGCCATGGGAAGCCAGAGCCCCACATTTTTCCCATGAGGAGCAAGCCCCATAACCTGGTGGGACGTCATCCCCTTCCACATGGATCATGCCAAAGCTTCTGCAATAATGTGTACTAGCCCATCTCCCATGCCAGAGGACAGCCCAGTGGTGGGACAGCTTAGAGAAGCCTGGAAGACACCTGGGACTCCTTGGGAAAGCTGGTGTGGTGGAAATCATGGGCAAACCAAACCAAACCAAACCAAACCAAACCAAACCCCACTCACACTTTGGCCTCCTCCTTGGTGGCGTAGGTCACGTTGACAACGGCAGTTTCTGTGTCTGTGTTCACTGTTGGAGCAAGAGAAGCAGAGTTGGAGCAGGGCTGGGAGAGGTGTCACTGCTGCTCTCAGCATTGCTCCAGAGGAGGGGATACACCTGGGATGGGGACAGGGACATGTCCCATGGCATGCCTGGGCACCCTGTGTTTTCCCCTGGGCACCCTGTGTTTACCCCCAGCACAAGGACAGGGTTGGATCCAAGGCTGAATCCAAGCAGAATGCAAGGCTGGACATCCCTGATCCACCAGTGGATCCCAACCTACACTCAGCTCATTTTTGCTTTCAATTTTTTCAGGGACCAGGGGCATTCCCAGGGATGGTGGATGCACAGCCCACATCATCCCACCAGCAGGGTTTGTGTCCAAAACCCATTTCAGACCACTGCTGCTGGACTGGTTATCCAACTAGGTTTCATCCCAGCGGGTTTCCTGCAGCCTGGGCAAAGCTGGGGAGCAGCACTGGGAATTTTGCAGGGATGCTGGACCATCTTACCTTGCTCTACATTCTCCACTGTGCCATACTGAGCTAAGAGGCCATCCAGCACCTGGGGACAGAGCAGCAAACAGGGCAGGTGAGGCTCCAAGCAGGGCAGGAGCCCACTCCACCCACAAACACCCTCCAGCACCACCCACCATGCCGTTATCATCCATGCATCCCATTATCATCCATTATCCCAGAGCTGACCCAGCACTCCAAGCTGGCCCCCACCCAAAAGCAGGCAGGAGCTGGACCCCAGTTCAGGCTCCCTCCCTGCATTACTGGGAAGTTAAAGTGTGGCCCACGTGCAGGCCATGTGCTCCAGCAGCACAGCTCATGATGCTGGAGAAAGAGATGAACGGGATGTTTTTGGGATTTCTGGGATCAGCCACTTCTTACCTCCCACTGTAGGTGGGGAGGGATGTTTCGGATCTGGATCTTCCTGCTCCTGCAAAGACAAAGCCCTGGGTTAGGGTCTGCAGGCACCTCACAGCAGAGGGAAAAGCCTCTCTGGGAATCACACAGAGCTGTGAGAGCTTCCCAAAGCATCCCACCTCCCCACAGCGAGCCAAGGCAGCTCAGTCCCAGGGAGAGCCATTTCTCCTCGCTGTGCCCTGGTCACCACTGGGGCTGGAGCTCTCTCTGGAACGCTCCCTCCTCATGCTGGCTGTCAGGTTTCCAAGGAAACCTCCTGAAAGGAGCCTCTGCAGAGCCATGGCCGCACAGGGATGCACAGACAGCCCTGCCCACGCTGCTCTGGGCTGGGAACAGGACCCCAGCCTGGCCAGGCCAGCCCTGCTGTACCCTGAGGGGAGCTCTCCAAAAGCACATTCAGCTGAGGCTCACCACTTCCCAGCAACGTGGGGCTGCTCTCCTTGGGGAAACCCTAATAAATATCCTTGTAAGCCTGAGTTTGGAGATGCCCAACACACCCAGCCTCGTCCAGTGGCACTTCCAAACTCACAGGACAACATGGCTCACTCCCAGCCTGGCTGTGGTTCCATCCCCAACCTGGACATGGTTTCATTCCCAACCTGGACATGGTTTCATTCCCAACCTCATTATGGTTGCATTCCCAAATTGGTGAAGCCATGGCTTCATTGCCAACCTGACTGTGGCTGCAAAGGAAGCCCTGCCAACGCTTCCCAAGGGTCAGAGCCCCCTGACATCTCCTCAGCCTGGCTGTGAGATGTGCTTGGGCAGTGACAGGTTCTGACACAGCCCAATCCATGCAGGATCCAGCCAAGCTTTGAGCCACGAGCCACTCTGTTGCCGTAAGGTAGGAAAATCAGAAAGAAAGGCTTCAAAAAATCAAGGCTGCTCTCCTTGTCAGGCCAGCCCTTTGCAAGCTCCCATGTGAAAACAATCCTAGGGAGAGCAGTTCATTAGCACAACAATCTATATAAATATATATAAATCTATCTAAAATATATAAATCTATATAGAAAATAGGAATCTAGGTGAAACACAACCAACACCTGTATAAACTGTTTTTACACTATTAGACAAAAAATGAAAACTATCTCTCAACAAACAACTTTTCCTACTTTGGGAGCTGGAGTGACCCCCAATAGACACATCTCACCCCTGAGATGATGGATGCCAGGCTGTGAGGCCACAGGGCCTGAATAAATCCCAGCCAGTCCCAAACCGTTGGAGAGAGCTGGACACGCTGCCCAGTCACCCCCAGACCCAAACCCACGGGGGCACCTTCATCCCAAGGTGTCCCTGCTCAGCTCCCAGCCAAAGCACCACCACAGCCACCCTCCTCTCCCATGTGGGAACCACTGGGGTGCCCCAGGTTGGGCATCCCACAGCTGCTCTCCATTTGGGGTTCACTTGGCTCAGCCCACCTGTCCCCAAAGCCCAGGGGACACAGGGCACTTGGAAGGGGCACATCCAAGAGAAACCAGCACAGCAGCTGGATAAATCCCTCTGCCACTCCTGGAAAAGCCCTGCCTTGGACTGAATTGCTCCAGAGCCATAATTTCCCTACTCCTCTGCCAAAGGAGATGCCAGAGCAGCCCTGGTCTCCCCAGGTGCTGCTTCGCCCTCCCAAAACACCCAAACAGAAGAACCACAGCAGGTGCCACAAATCCCCACTTCCCAACGGGACACAACAGAATATTCCCACTTCCAGCATCCATCCAAAGCAGTGCACAGCATTTAAAGGCACCCAAAGGGCACTCAGGCTTCAGCTCCCATGGGCAGAACTCCCAGCAGCTCAACATCACCACCCAGCATTGAAGACAAGGTTATTGCTCCTCCTGGGTGTGCTCATGGCTCTTGCAACTGCACACCTGGATGAAGCACTGCTGGACCCCACACAGCCATCACTGCTGGAGCCAGGGATGCACATCTGGAGCCATGACAGGTTGGGTGAGTTATTCCCAGGGGCATGGAAGAACTCAGCCATTCCCAACACCACTCCCAGGAGAACTTCGTGGCAGAAACCCCCTTTATTTTGATTTTTGTTTTCATTTTCGTTTCATTTTCCCAGACCCCGGGGGTTGACTCCAGGGCACGCACACAACACCAGCACAGGAGCTGACGGTGGCCACGTCTCACCCACCCTGTTTTGCAGCAGGCTGGTGGGAATTTAAGGAGTGAAATAAATCCTAATAACCAGATGGGGGAAAAACACTCAGCTGTGTGATGCAACTGGCCCTGCTGTGGTGAGTGCCCTCAGATAACCTGGAGAGCTGCATCCCTCTGCCTCTTCCTCCACACACCCACCTCGCTGCCTCAGCAGCTTCAAGGGCTGAAGAAACCACGCTCAGCTGCTTTTTTCCCTTCTAAATTGATCCCAAACTGGTCCTGCTCACCAGCAGCTCGAGGAGGAAGCAGCTCCTCCACCCCAGAGCAGGGTTTGGGTGCCAGGAGCTGCTGGCAGCACAGGGAGGATCGAGCAGTGAATGAGGAGGTAAAGTGAAATAACCCAGGATGGGGCTGTGTGTCCTCTCATGCACCCACCAGAGCAGAATCATGGGCTGGCATCACAGTCCTGCAGGGAAATGGGATGGAAAACCAACCCCCAGCCATCCACGCCCAGCCAGCATCACCACCGCTACCTCCACCTGCTGAAATCATGCAGTAAAACAGGAAAGCTTTAAAATTGGGGTTTATTCCCCAGAATCAGGAGGATTGAGGGAGTTTTGGCAAAATTCCCCCTTTTCCAGCATGGCTTCCAGGGAAATAGTGGGTTACAACCCCCTCAAAATCCCAGGACACAGAGAACAAGCATAAAAATGTCAAGAAGTTTGAAATGAGAATGAGCCACCAGCTCCATGTCCAACATCCACAATCCTTCCTGGATTTTCCCTGTTGGCCCCATGGATCTCCCACCCATCCCTTAGTCAAGAAACTCCAGAGGGGCTTTGTCTCCCACAAATTTGGGAATTAGAAACAAGCTAGCTTCAATATAAGCTTTATAATATAATAATAAAACCTCAACAAAATAATCCAATAATAAATTAATATTGTGATATAATGCTATATAATAATATACAAAATATAGAAAAATAATTTATAATGGTATCTAATTAATACAGTGGAATATAAGGGATGGCTTCAGCACTCTCTGCCCTAAAAAGCACAGATTTTTTCCTACTCATGCTTTGTAATATCTTACTATAATAAAGCTTAAAGGGATTTCATCACCTTCCACCTCAGATCAGTGCTGAGGGCAGAGAAAACACGCTCTGCCACCTCCTGTTTTCCATAAAAATCAATTTTCAAGAGAACTGGGGGAAAAAAGCAAAGGGAAAACATGCTGAAAACCCAGTGAGGGCTCTGCCTGCTTTATGAAATATTTGTCCCAGGCAAGAAAACACCTACCAAAAAATAATTCCCATCATCAGGCAGGAACCAAACTCTGTCCCAGCTGAATTTTCCAGCTCAGAGCCTGAGCCAACAGCCCCCTGAGCGGGCAGGGAGGGATGTGGCTGCTGGATTTGCGATTGCTCATTATCCCATCTATTTTCTGGGTTTGCTGGGGCTGTCCTGGAGGAGTTTTGGTGCATCCCAAGCCCACCCAGCAGCAGCTCCACGAGCATTGAAGAGCTGCCCCAGTTTCCAGCAGTTGCCAGGAGGCTGCGGCTGCTCCAGCTCCCCTCCCAGCCCGGGGGCTTTGCTCTTAAGGAATTAAAAACCCCGGGATGGAAAAGGGTCCGGCCCCGTGCGTGGATCAACAATGGGGATGGAGGGGAATCGGGAATCCGGCCCATCTGTCACCATCGGATCGCGGTGATCCGCGAAACAAAAGAGGGAGGGGAGGAGGAGGGGGAAAGGAGAAGGTACAAAAATCAGGGGGAAAAAACAAAGAGAGGGGGGGAAAAATGATGGGGAAAGAGATAAATGGGAGAGTGGGGGGAGAGGAAGAAGGGAGGAAGGAAAAAGGGGGAAAAGAAGGAAAGGGGATAAAAGATAAGGGGAAACAGAGGAGGAAAGGAAGGTGGGGGAAAGGGGGAAGAGAGGAAAAAAAGGGAGAAAGAAGAGTGGAAAAGGAAAGAAAGGAAAAGGAGAGAGGGGAAAGATGAGGGGAAAAAGAAGGAAAGAGGATAAAAGATGAGGGGGAAAAGGAAGAGGAAAGGAAGGTAGGGGGAAAGGGGGAAGGGAGGGGGAAAAGGGAGAAAGAAGGAGGGAAAAGGAAAGAGGGGAATAAAGGGGGAAAGGAAAGTGGAAAAGAAGGGGGGGAAAGGAGAGGGGGGAAAGAAGAGGGGGGAAAGAAGAGGGATGAGAAAAGGGAAAAGAAGAGGGAGAAAGAAAGGGGGGAAGAAGAAGGGAAAAAAGAAAGAAAGGGGGGAAAGAAGGAGGGTGGAAAAAGGGGAAAAGAAGGTGGAAAAGAAGAGGGGGAAAAGAAGAGTGGAAAAGGAGAGAAAGGAAAAGGAGAGAGGGGGAAGGGGGAAAAGGAAAGGGGAAAAGAAGATTGGGGAAATGGAGACGGGGAGAAAAGGGGGGAAAAGGAAAGGGGGAAAGAAGAGGGAGAAAGAAAGGTGGGGAGAAAAAAAGGAGGGAAAAGAAAGAGGGGAAAAGAAGGAAAGGGGACAAAAGATAAAGGGGAAAAGGAAGGAGGAAAGGGGGGGAAGGGGGAAGAGAGGGAAAAAAGGGGGAAAGAAGAGTGGAAAAGAAGAGAGGGGGAAAAGGAGGAAATTAAAGGAAAAAAGAAGAGGAGGAAAAGAAGAGAGGGAGAAAAGGGAAAATAAGAGGGAGAAAGAGGGGGTGAGGAAAAAAAGAAAACGAAAAGAAACGAAAAGAAACGAAAAGAAACGAAAAGAAACGAAAAGAAACGAAAAGAAACGAAAAGAAAAGAAAAGAAAAGAAAAGAAAAGAAAAGAAAAGAAAAGAAAAGAAAAGAAAGAAAAGGAAAAGTGGGAATGAAGGGAAAAAGAAGGACAGAGAAGAAGGAAAAAAGGGGGAAAGAAGAAGGAGAAAAAAAATAATGGGGGAGAAAAGCAGAGGGGGAAATAGGGGAAAGAAGAGGGGAGGAAAAATGGGGGGAAATAAGGAGGAAAGAAAGAGGTGGAAAAAAAGGGGGGAAGAGTGGGAGGAAAAAGAAGAGGCAGGGAAAGAAACCAGGAAAAGGAAATGGGGGTAAATAAACAAGGGAAAGAAAGGATAAAATATTAA